TTCCGTCCCCCAAGGCTCCGGGCTCCCCCAGCATTGTACCTCCACGGGGAACACACAGAATCTACTAGCCTGGCCCCCTAGGGTCTGGTGTGCGAGGAGACCGTGGGGAGGGGGCGTGTCGTTCTCCTTTCTTCTTCTTGGTCAGGGGCCACGTCAGTGAGGGTTGGGTTTTTTTTGTTTGCTTTTTTTGCTTCTCACTTGTGTGTGACCCTCGTCTGATTTTTCTGTGGGTCATCGGCCCCCAACCCAAAAATGGGTCCCACAACTGGCCTGAGGTTTGCTGCCCAGAGTGGCTGGCCGGGGATGCAAGCCCCATACGCAGCAGGTAGCTGGGGCTGTGGGATCATCCTGGGCCTGAGGCTGTTGTTGGTTTAGAGACAAGCCCAGGAAGAGCAGAATGCTCCTGGGGCGACCCGGGCTGGCTCTACCCCCTGCCTCTCCACGGTGCCAGTCTCTGCCCCGAGCCTGAGCAGGCTCATTGCTGCCGGGGACACTGGTCGGGGCTTTGACTTGCACCCTCTTCCCTTCCCTCCGCAGGGCAGCGTCGGCACGGGGGTGCAGGTCCTGGCCGTGTCCCACACGGGGATCAAACTAGCCTGTGGCTCCGGCAATTCCAGCCACCAGCCCGGCAGCGCCTTGCCAAAGCGCAGCAGGGGGAGGTGGCAGTTTTAATGGGTTTGGTGAGACACGGAGCCACTTCCCAGCACAGATCAGGCCTGGGAGCTCCCTTTGCCAAGCTCTGTGATCAGCAACACACACACACACGGCCACCTACCCGCACGTGCGCACAGCTATGCGTACGCTCCGGCAATTCCAGCCACCAGCCCGGCAGCGCCTTGCCAAAGCGCAGCAGGGGGAGGTGGCAGTTTTAATGGGTTTGGTGAGACACGGAGCCACTTCCCAGCACAGATCAGGCCTGGGAGCTCCCTTTGCCAAGCTCTGTGATCAGCAACACACACACACACGGCCACCTACCCGCACGTGCGCACAGCTATGCGTACGCACACACGGCCACCTACCCGCACGTGCGCACAGCTACGCGTACGCACACACGGCCACCTACCCGCATGTGCGCACACACGGCCACCTACCCGCACGTACACACAGCTATGAAAACACACATACGTGCATACAGAGCCACCTACCCACACATGCACACAGCTACACAAATATACACGTACGCACACAGAACCACCTACCCACTCGTGCATACATCTATGCAAACATGCACATACGCACACACAGCCACCTACCCACACGTGCACACAGCTACGCAAACATGCACGTATACACGCACAGAGCCACTTACTCATGTGCACACAGCCGTGCAAACTTGTGTACACACACACAGCCACCTACCCACACGTTCACACAGCTATGCAAACATGCATGTACACACACACACACACACACACACACACACACACAACCATAAACCCACACGTGCACAAACTTGTGCAAACAAGCATGCACATAACCACCTAGTCACAAGTGCTCACATGTGCAAATGTGCACATACATACACACAACCACCTACCCACACCTGTGCAAATATGCATGTACACACACATCTATACACATGCTCATGCACATACCCCCATGGACACACTCACACATGCACATGTCCAGGCAAACATGCACATACCCACAGCTATACACACATGCACAGCCATATACATACCTGTGTACGCACACGCACATAGACACAAATGCATAGACACACGCACGCATCTCTTTACGCACGAGCCCACAGGCACACACCTGTGTACATACCAACACACGCCTGCCGACCCAGTGGGCCAGGGCCCGCGGCACTTTGAGATCCCCAGGAGAAGGGGCTACGAAAGGACAAAGTGCGATTTATCCTTTGCTGTATCAGTCCCCACATGCACCCACGTTTCGTCCCCAGTGAGGGAGTAAAGGATCGGCCCCTAGCTCAGCCCCTCACTCCCCTGCGAGCCCGGATCCCGACTTCTAGGCCCCTCCTAGCTCCATCCCAGTCCGTGCCAAGCAGCCGGAGCCCAGTGGCTGGCGAGCAGGGTGCATGGGAGGCACAGGCGGTGCCTCCGTTCTGCCCTGGCTCTGGCAGTAAGACCCACCCCACCCCTGGCTGTCTCAGCGGCGCTCTCCTCGCCTGTTCTTAACCCGTCCTTCCCCTCCCCCAGCTACGCCGACCTCCTCTTCGTGACCATCCCCTCCAAGCACATGCTGGAGTTCAACCTGAGCCACGAGAAGCTCATCCTCTTCTCCCCCAGGGCCCCCCAGGTGAAGGCCATGATCGACTATTTCATCACGGAGCTCAAGAAGGTGAGAAGCCGGCTGTGGACACAGAGCCAGGAGGGTGCCTCTCAGT